ACCTTGGTTGCGGGCACATCCCCAGTAGGGGGTGTGCAAGAGGCAGCTGATCGATGATTCTCTCTCATTGATGATTCTAACTCTCTATCCCTCTCTCTTCCTCTCTGTGAAAAAATCAATAAAATATATTTTAAAAAAAAAGAAAAAGAAAAAGAAAAAGAGGTAAGGGAGTGAAGAATTCTATTTGGGCTTCCTTTTCCAAGTCTCATCACTAACTCCCAGTGTCTCTGAAGAGATGTCAGAAGCCCAATCTGGTGTTTATAAGCACTGAGATATTTTTAGGAGAATGGGGCTAATCAATCGAAGCTGGTTGTGACTCTTACTCTTAGAGAGATCTACAGGACAAAGGCACCTACGTCAACAAAATGCCTACCACCGAGTTGCACCATCTGCCTGTGACAGTACATTCCTGGAACTCTGGTCTGGTAAACAGCTGTCACGAGAACCGGTTCTCCCTGACACTGCTCCTTTTACTAGTGTTGGTGACCTCTTGGTCAGCAACACCAAGCAACATTGTTTGTGGAGGCTCAATGGTGGCCTTACGATCTTTGCTCCCACTTTTTTATATCAACCTCAAAAGCCTCCCTTAGTACATTGCAAAAAAGCAAAAAGCATTGAAGGCAATGATAGAAATAACGCAAACACTGTCTGAAAATGATTAACTCACAGACATTAACCAGACATAAACTCAACAGAAAGATGCCCTGCAGAGTATTGTGGCCATTTAGGCACACTTGATTGAAAAATGGTTAGGAACAGAGAATTTTAATAGGCTTAATTTAAACTGAGATGACTCAAGAATTGCAAACAAAAATTTTCTGCATGCAACAGCACCATTCAATTTAGACTGAATTGCCTGATGATTAATTAATGTGGGACAGTGCTCAATGAAAAAATTGCTATAGATGTGCATCTGTCAAACAAATTTTCCACAGATTGTCAAAACTCCGTGACATGAATGAAAAATATCCAGGGGACAGTAGATGGCCCCTTGCTCCTTAAATGAAAACTACCTCATTGCCAAATATCATAAGTTTCAGGCTAAAAGAGGCAGAGTTCACCTACCTAGTCAACTCAAGGGGTCACAGTACCAACTCCATATTAACTTTTGAAAAGGATGTTAAATTGAAAAATAAGAATTATGGAAGGTGAGAGATAAAAATGATAACAGCTGACATCTACTAAGCATTTACTATGTGCCAGGCTTTGTTTTAAGCACTGTATCCATATTATCTTAGTTAATCCTCACAACAATCCCATGAGTCAGATCCTATCACTATCTTACATGTGGCGAAGTCTCTTTTGATCTACAGATGAAAGCGGAAGAGGTTAAAGAAGACTTGACCATGGCTAAGTAGCCAAACCCTTTCAGAAAGAAGACCCAAATAACATCTCTTCATCCAAGTCAGTGCTCCAAGCCCTTGTAAGTGGGTGGCACACATTCTTTTTATAAGGTGTCTTGGGTTCAGAAGAGACATAAGACTATTCCAGAAAGAGCACACTCTTCTTCTTTTCCAAAGCCATGGCCAGCAGACTACAGGGCTTAGCAAGGTGTCATTTGGCCTGGTGGAAGTGGTGGCATGGCTGGTCTTCCTCTCATACTCTCTCTTAAACAAACAGAAGCCTGGGATGCTGGGAGAGTATCTGTGCACTGAAGCCTGGACTTAGGAGTTGGGCATCACTTGTCTGCAGGCTTCTATGTCATGTCAAAGATGACAAAGTAAGAGGAAGCTTCTTAGGGAGTAATTAAATTAAAACCTCATCCTAACATGACAAAGAGGACAAATTTGGAGATTGAGTCAGTGACAGAAACTAGGAAAACAAATTAGAGTAGAAGGTTCAAGAGGGGATGGTGCTGAAACCGGTTTGGCTCAATGGATAGAGTGTTGGCCTGTGGACTGAAAGGTCCCAGGTTCGATTCTGGTCAAGGGCATGTACCTTGGTTGTGGGCACATCCCTGGTGCAGGAGGCAGCTGATTGATGATTCTTTCTCATCGATGTTTCTAACTCTCTATCCCTCTCTGTAAAAAATCAATAAAATATATTTTAAAAAAAGAAAGAAAGAAAGAAAGAAAGAAAGAAAGAATGAAAGAAAGAAAGAAAAAGAAAGAAAGAAAGAAAAAAGAAAAGAGGGGAGTGTTCTGATGCACAGATAATTGTCCGCTAGCTTTGGGGAGATGTAAGTTGTTTAAAAAAATAAAAATAAAAATAAAAAACTCATAAAGAGCTATTCAGAGGTGTACTGAGGGACAAAAACCCACTTAAAATGGATTGAGTAGAAAAGGATGATGAATAATAAAGACAACATAGACTTTTTTTTTCCCCCCAGAAGTTTACCATAAAGGGAAACAGAGAAATGTAGCAACATCTAGGAAGTTAAGGGAGATTCCCCCCCACCTCCACCCCAGATGGGCAAGAATAATGCATTTTACACGATGAAGTGAAAGATTCAGTAGAAATGGGAAAATTGGTAATTTATCTTGACTCCCAAGAAAGAAAGAAAATAATTACAGAAATGAAGTCATGGAGAAAGTATGAGGGGCTCTAACAGAAGTGTAGATCTTGGCTTTGGAAAGAAACAAGAATATGGTCTTCTACTGTAACAGGGAGGACAAAGTAAACAGGTGCCTATTATTGGAAGTGGTAGTAGGAAATTAAAAAGTGCATGATGAAAATTTACTTGGAAAGACAGATTAATATGCATCTATAATAACAGTAATAATCACTATCACCATTGACCAACCAGTATTTGTCATGTTCACATTTTTATATACCATATTTTAAAAGGTTATGACTAACCTAAGAAGTAAGCATTATCATGCCAGTTTTACAGAAGTGGATACTGAGGCCCAAAGCTACATAAGCAGTAAGTGACATATTTGAGGGTAGGAAGAGGAAAACCTAGACTTGTGTAATTATAAAAAATAAAAAAAATGAGATTGTATCTGTTAGACTTTTGTATGAGGATATTGAGTAGACAGTTGATATCCAATTGTCTGGAGCTTGAAGAAATCATTTTGAACCCACATTTAACAACCACCTTAAATCATGTTCTTCCCCCTACGTCTCACTGCAACATATGATGAACCAAGGTACAGAGGATGAAAAAAATAACTTTTCAACAAAAAGAGTTGGGAGACTAAAATTGATGGTAGAAATGTAAAATGAAATTTTCTTAAACACTAGACATGTAACTACCATATGGCCCAACAGTTGCAATTTATTCTAGAGAAAAGAAGACTCATGTTCACACAAAAAGCCCCCCCCCACACACACACACACAGACACACACATAAACACACAAATGTGTATAGCAGTGTTATTTACAATAGAATGGCCCAAAACTGGAAACAACCAAGATGGCCTTCAAAGGTAAATGGTTAAACAAACTGTGGTACATCCATACCAAAAAATATTACTCAGTAATAAAAACCAACAAACTATTAATACATGCAACAACTTGTATGCATCCTGAGGGAAATAAGACTGAGCAAAAAAGAGCTAAACTCAAAGGTTACATGCTGTGATGATTAGTTTGATGTATGAACTTGGCAGGGCCTTAGTACCCAGACATTTGGCCAAACACTACTCTGGATATTACTATGAGTGTGTTTTAGATGAGATTTGCATTTAAATGAGTGGATTTTGAGTAACAGGATTGTCTTCCCAGAATATTGGTGGATCTCATCCAATCAGCTGACAGTCTGATAGAAAAAAAGGCTGACCTCCCCCAGCAAGATAGAATTCCCCAACTGACTGCCCTGAGTCCCCAGCTTGCAGGGCTCCTTCATCAGATTTTGGCCTCTCCAAGTACTCCACAGTCGTAGGAAGCAATCCCTTATAATAAGTTAATCTCTAGATAGATAGGGAGATAGATAGAGAGATAGATAGATAGGTAGATAGATAATAGATAAATAGATAGATAGATAGATAAATAGATAGATAGATTGGTTGATTGATTATAGATACATACATACATTCTATTGATTCTGTTTCTCTGGAGAACCTTTACATGCTATCTAATTCTATTTTTATAATAGTCTAATAATGACAAAATTAAGGAACTGGAGAACAGATCTGTGGTTGGCACAGTTTAAGAGTCAGTAAGGTTAGAAGGCTACAGAAGGGCAACATGAGGTTGATCTATATCTTAACTGTATTGATGTCCACATCCTAGGTGTGATTATAGTCTTACAAGATGTTACATTGAAGGAAACTCGGTAAAGGATGCATGGGATCTCTCTGTATTATTTCTAATATCTACCTGTGAATCTAGAATTACCTAAAAAAAAATTTATTTATTAAACAAATATTCATTGAACATCTACTGTGTACTATGCAATCTAACAAGCACTGGGAATAATAAGATGGGCAAGGTCTCTGCATTCATGGACCTTAGAATAGGTGGGACAAAATAATAAATAGGCAAGTTAATAATAAAATAATAGCAAGTAATAAAATCTAATACTTGTAATATTTAATAAATAAACATTACTATAGTTGAATTTATTACTTAATACCGTATTTTTCGGACCATAAGACACTCCGGACCATAAGACGCACCAGTTTTTAGAGAAGGGAAATGAAGAAAAAAAAATTCTGAAACAAATAGTGTCCTAAAATATTTTATGTGCATTAAAACCCAACATCACAGTCATAAACACATGTAATCAACCCTGTAAAGTAAACAGCAGCATTTAGAACCATTTTAGAGCCGGGCAAGCACACAGAGACCACACAGAGCCGGGCAAGTAAAAAAACTTTTTTTTTTAAGTATATGTGTAGGCTATATTTGGACCATAAGACGCAGGGACTTTTTCCCCCCACTTCTGGGGGGGGGGGAAAGTGCGTCTTATGGTCCGAAAAATACGGTAATTAACACCACTTTAATACTAGAACAATAGTGAATAATGACATGTCAAGTATAAGTGGTATGAAGAAAATAAAGCAGAGAGAGCATCAGGCCTGAGAAGGAGTTGCAGGGGGTAGGTGGTATCTACCTTAAGAAGGCTGCTTGGAGAGCCTCTGAGTCATCTGCATGTAGCAGAGCCAACCTCATACAAATCTGGGTGGAGCACTCAAGGCAGAAGCCCATCCAGTCCAGAGGTGCTGAGCCCGGCACACACTAAGCAAGTCTGAGTCCCGTGTGGCTGATCCCAAAGTAGGAGGAGGAGGCAAGTTGAAGGAGAGAAGGTCTCAGAGTCAGGGAAAGACTACCTCAGATTGGCCCCTCAGGCCGTGGTGATGCATGTGTATTCCCTCCTAAGGGTGGCTGGGAAGCCTTTGGAGACTTTTCAGCAAAGGGTGCTATAGTCCAGTTTAATTTTTAAATCGATGTTGGCTGTTCCGTCAAAAAGGGACTATAGGACAAGAAGGGGGCAGGGAGGCCAGGTCACTGTGCATCACACTCAGGAAATGCTGGTGGCTGAAACCAGTGCAGTGTCTGTGGAGAAGTGAGAAGAGGAAGGCTACACTGGGGACAAATTTGACTCAAGAATCTTAACATCCACTGGCCTTCTTCAGGGACTACGACTCTCCAACACTCCTGCACTCCTGGCTTGGCCCAGGGTGAACTCATTTCATTGGGTGCCTCATGCTTGCCCCCATCAGAGAGGAATGCAGCGTGCTGAGGTAGCTGCTTTTCTTTCTGCCCAGCTAGAGAAATGCATAAACCCTCATTTTGCTGAAGGGAAGAACAACGAAAACAACGTTAGGGGGCGCCCTTTTCTTCCCTTGCAAACTCCCTCCTAGAGCTGTTTGTTGGTACCCATTATGAAGATTGCATTAATGCAGAAGCAATCAGAAAGTGACTTGAAAGGGAAGAGCAATCCCACAGAGCCCAGCGGGGATCTCTGGGCGATTCTGGGCCCTGGTGGTCCCCACCCAATAGCCAAGCCAGGCTTGCCTGTATCTCTCAGGCAGGGAAAGACACCTGGCTGCAATGGGGTCACAGGACCTCAGGTGGGCGCTAAAGCACACTCTGCCGAGAGGCCGAATGGGATTACCAGTTCTTCGAGGGCCAGGCAATCCCTGTAACTGGATCCCTCCGTTCCCACCCGGCAGATAAGATTTCAGCCCATCCCTTAATGGTACAGAGATTATTCATTTCTGAGCAGGGGCAGAACCAGAGAGGCCTTGCTCCGCTAACTCGGAGGAAGCTGGCTGGGAGGCTCAAGACCCCGCGCCCTGGGCTGGCGAGAGGCTGGACGCGCCTCCAGCCGGAGAGGAGCTCCACGCGCGGCCAGTGCCTGCGACCCACACACAAAGTTAAAAGCTAACCGGCCTCGCGCTGCACCCAAGGCCAGCTCCCTCTCTCTTACAAGGAGATTCAAAGAGCAAAGGTTAGTAAAGCCGAAGAATGTAAGCTGTCGTTTTCTGACAGCCGCGCACCGTCTCCTGCGGTGGGTGTCATGTCACTGGGAAATAATTGCTAAGAAATTCTCCTCTGACTCTCAAGCCTTGGACGAGAGCGCGTGAGCATCCCCAGCCCAGACTGGCCTGGGAAGCCACTACTTGGGCTTCTTAAGGTCCGGTTTCAGAGCTGCCTTCCCCAGGCTTGGCTCTGCGACGGAGAGCAGGGAGCAGAGAGCGCCTCGGGGGATGATTGAATGAGTAAATTCAGGTGAAGTGCTGAGAGCAGCACGTGGCTCCAAACAAGAACTCCATCAAGATTGCTAATGATGTTTGCTCATGCTTTTCCACTAAGAAATTACTGTATTGTGTGTTTGCTTTTATGTTCATTTCTCCTTAGACATTAGGAGCGCCTAATTGTCTTATTTATCTCATGCATCTCTGACCCTAGAGCTGTGCCAGGCTCAATAAAAGTTTGTAGGGATCTTTTCCCCCCCCTTTTATCCTCACCCAGGGTTATATTCAGTGATTTTTAGAGAGAAAGAAAGGGAGAGAGAGAGAGAGAGAAAGAGAGAGAGAAAAGAGAGAGGAGATCTTACACCCATCCATTACCTCCCATATGAACCCCAACTGGGGATCAAACCTACAACCTAGGTAAGAGCCCTCACCAGGAATTGAACCCACAACCTTTTGGGGTCCGAAAGGATGCTCACATCAACGGAGCCACCCAGCCAGGCAAGTTTGTGGTTTTAATGAAAATATTTACTCAAGTGTGTTACCTTGCATGGGGTGATAGAAATGCAAAGAGGGTAGTGAAATAAAAACTGGTGAAATCCGAGTCTCCTTTTCCTCTCTTTATATTACCTTTTGTTTCTCCATAACAACCCCTCCATGTTGCTGCTGTCCATAAAAGTCCCTCTGCTGGGAAATGGCTCCAGCTGAGCCTCCGTGGAACCAGCGATACTAGTCGCCTTGCACAGTTCAAGCTCAGAGTTCATACCGCCTGGGCCCCCACAGGACCTAGGTATCACAGAGAGTCCACAGAAGGGCATAAGCACAAGCAGGGTGAGTAGATTTATTTGAAAACTCTACAGTATGGCCTCCAACAAGTGCCTCTTGACATACACAGAACCCATAATCATAACAGTAAAAACAACGACACCACCATTTCCTGAGCACCAAGCATACACTGTGCTAAACACTTGCCTATATTACCACATATTGCCACCCCTCCCAAAAAAAAAAATTTTTTTTTTTTAAATAAAAAACAACAACAACAACAAAGTGTCTATTCTGTCATTCTCATTTTATCAGGCGAAAAAATACGAAAGCACAGAAAAGTCATGATGAGCCCCTGGCTTAAGGACATATACCACCAGTAGTAAAATGTTGAGATTCAAACCCAAGTACATAACTCTCCGAAGCTCACTCAGGTAACCACTCAAGCCTACCATAGCCTCTGGCCACACAGCCCAGTTCGGATCAGAAGCACAAATACCACAGTACTAGTTTTCTGCAGGGCAGAGTGCTCTCTGTGTACCTCCCGTGCCCCTGTCTTTGTCTACCATCCCCCAAAACATGGCATGGCAGCCCAGCATACCACATCTGCTTTTTACCTGTGCCCGGTGACTGCCACACTCATGCTTTACAATGTGACTGCCTCTGGTTTGTAATGTATGCCCAAGGACATACTCTTATATTATTTCCTGGTGGAACAAAGGTATTTAAAGCCACAGGTCTCTGCAGCAAAGCATGTATCGATTCAATTCTCATCAATAGCCTTGGCTAGATTAGACTTGGACTTTTAGCCCTTCCCCTTCTCCTGTAATGTATAACTAGTGAAAAGCTGGGAAAAAAGACAGAGAAGAGCTGGCCAGCTGTATGTGCCACACTCACCACAGGACCTGGAATTAAGAGGAGGACTCCCAGGCAAATAAAATGACAGATCAGGTAAAGCAGCATTCTGTTCATTTTTGAATCGGCTTTGAAAAAATGAATAGGTCAAGCCGTTCAAGTCAGTGAGCATATGGAGGATTTGGGGGATGTTGGATACTGCTAGCACAGATCAAAGCTACTTCTTTTGGTCAATTGATAGTTCATTTGGCTGCCAGAATCCCAATTTCTTGTTCAGTAATTGGGATTTTAAGGATATTTGCTCTGTGTAACTTGTTCTCAAATGATTCTGCATAACCATACTACTAATGGCATATGCAAGGGAAAAAAAAGGGCAGATTAACCTGAATCTAACTAATAATGAAAATTGGAATGGAATCTTCAGAAATGTCATTGTATAAAAAACAAGAGATAGAAGGATTGTTCTAGATTAAAGAAAACTAGGAACTAACAACCCAATGCAGCAAGAGTTTTTAGATTGTGGAAGGAGAAAGAAAACAGCCCTAAGGGACATTATGGGGGCATGTGGGAAATTTTGAAAATGGGTTGCATATTACATAACATTTGTATATCTGGTATATTCTTGGATATAATGGCATTGTAATTATGCCAGAGAATGTCTTTATTCTTAATGAGTACATGCTGGAGTGTTTAAGAGTGAAGTGACAGAAATACCTTCCAGCTAGTTTGAAATGATTTGGCCACAACAATAACAACAATACACACAAAAACGCACGCACAGTGAGAATTAACCAAATGTGGTGATAACCATTGGCCAACATAGGTGAAGGTTACAGAGTCTTTCAACTTCTCTGTGAATATAATGCCTTTTGCCCTAGCTCAGTGGTCTGCAAACTCATTAGTCAACAGAGCCAAATATCAACAGTACAATGATTGAAATTTCTTTTGAGAGCCAAATTTTTTAAACTTCAACTTCTTCTAACACCACTTCTTCAAAAGACTAGCCCAGGCCATGGTATTTTGTGGAAGAGCCACACTCAAGGGGCCAAAGAGCCGCATGTGGCTCGAGCCACAGTTTGCTGACCACTGCTTTAGCTGGTTTGGCTCAGTAGATAGAGTGTCAGTCTATGGACTGAAGTGTCCCAGGTTCAATTCTGGTCAAGAGCACATGTTCGGGTTGCAGGTTCTATCCCCAGTAGAGAGCGTGCAGGAGGCAGCTGGTCAATTGTTGTTTCTTTTTCTCTCTCCCTCTCCCTTCCTCTCTGAAACTAATAAAATAAATAAGTAAAACAATACCTTTCAAAATAAAAACTTAAAAATAAATTTTAGTCACCCTTACACACAATCATGCAAGTAGGTACATAAATCGGTGCCCCTCTCATATTAGGACCTCTAAATTCTGATCTGGTGTAAGTTATTCTGCTGGGCATTTCTTCATGTTGGAAAGTGACAAAGCTAGATGCTCGGGCTTTGTGGTCAGCTGGGCTTGGGTTTGGGATGTGGTCAAGCTACTTAGCTACTTATCTGCTCTGACGCCAGGGCTGTTATTTACCTGAGCTTGGGTTCTCTATATTGTGATAAAATAAGAACATATTGGGATATAGCATAAGGATATAATATAGGACATTCATGAGTATAGTGGTTTTTTTATGATAAGGGAGTGATTAAGATGACATTAGTGATACTCAGGTGACAAACATTTTAGTATTAATAGTGTATTTATATAATGTATATTTAAAGAATTATTAAGGCATTGGGATTCCCTATTATTGCCTATGATATAGCTAAAGCAGTTAGAACTTTGAAGAAAATATAAAGACAAATATTAAGTAAATAACAGATGGTATGTAGCTTTGGCAAAAATCATGAAGGTGGTGTTCAAATAACTGAAGTTTGGAAGATTCTGTGAAAGGGAAGATAATCCTGGCGCCTAGCAGATGCTCAAGCTTTGTTTATAACTACTATTGAATTCCCATAAGGGAATTTAGTAATTACGTTTTAGTACTTTTCTTGGAACCCAGAAAAAATTAGAATTTATATAAAGCACAATGTTTCAGCTTTGTAAATCCACCCAGACTTGGAAAGAGAAGGGGTGAGCATGAGAGGAAGGATCAGAAGACCTGCACCCTCACTCTGAATGTGCATAGGAATCACTGTGTGACTCAGGATTTGGACTCAGCTTCTCATCTGGAAAATGAAGGGATTATGCATGAAATAATTTTCTTATAAAATGTCTAATAATATAAATAAAAGATACTTTTACTCCTTTTCTCCTATCTCACATTCCCCCTCAAAAGATTATACTTTTATGTTTTTCAAGAACATATTCTATGAATTACATACAACATGCATAAATCAAAAAAATACTCAGATTTAAGCCTTTGAAAAACATTAATGAGAGTACACAACTTCCTTTGTCATTTAACAATGTCAATGCATGACCACATTGTTCATTTTAACTGCTGCATTGCAGCTTATATATATCTGATGTATATATCATGATGCATTTGAAACTATTTGGCTATTTCATATTGAATGACATTAGGCTCTTTCCATAAGTTTTGCTATCGCACATGTACAAAATATCCTTATATATGGCTCTACATGCCTGATAAGGTTTCTCTACGGTGGTTAAATATCTACACTAATAAAAGAGAAAAAATGCTAATTGACCATATCTTCACTACACCCACAGCCAATCAGAGCAAGTATGCAAATTAACTCAATAAAGATACAGTTAATTTGCATATGCGGAGGGAGGAGTGAAGACTGAAGACAGTTAAAAGGAAGAGGGAGGAAAAGTGGAAAGCAAGGTGGCTGCCAGAGGGAAAGTGCCCGCAGCCGCTTGCAGGAATCTTCCTGCAAATGGACTCCTAGTGTAATTATTAGTTGGAAAAGATGAATGCTCTGCCTCTTTCTATGTTTTTGTTTGTTTGTTTGTTTGTTTGTTTGTTTTTGTAGCTACAGGGAGGGGGGGTGAATAACCCATAACTCTAGGTTCAAATAGATGAAAATCCTAAAGTATTACCTGAATATTAGTGTGGATTATGATAGACTGGTTGATACCCCTTGTATATGTTTTGAAGTATTTTTGTACCATAGCAATGTCCAGGAGCTCCCCACCTCTTTGTTATTGCTGTCTGATTTTACTTCTCTCAATAGCATAAATTATTGTTTTAATATTTTTTTTGTAATATATGTTTATTGATTTCAGAGAGAGAAAGGGAGAGGGAGAGAGAGAGGAACATCAAT